ATAAGCTAGATTGCGTTAGGTTGATGTTAGTGGGGTTAGATAGACTTAAATCAACTCAAATTGAACCAAAACTAAAGAACTATTAGCTCAACTCAATAAAACTTAACATAACATAACTCAATACAACATAACATAACTCAATACAACATAACATAACTCAATACAACATAACATAACTCAATACAACTTAACACAATCTACGTTTATTTGTAGGCTGAACGGAACCGCTCGAAATACTCTGGGTCCCTGCTTAGATAGTCCAAGAAGAACGTATCTAGATAATCATTAAAGTCACGGATAGCTTCCGAGGTTGGGTTGAAGTATAGATTGATCTTTCTCATGTAGTTTCTATATGGGACATATTCCTCGTTCGGAATAATACTACCTTCGTTGTCGAGATCATTTTGTGGTTCTGGGCTGATCTTGAGAAGTTCGACCAGATGGTCTAGGATACTCATCGCATTGTGTTTGGTTAGTGCTGGCAGTTCATAGACCAGGGTGCTACAATAGTTATACTCCGTACCGTTTGGGTGGCCAACTCCAGTGTAGACTACGGCGCTTCGGTTTGCATTGCAGGCGCCTGGTAGTGTTGTCTGGTAGTATTGGGATTTGCAAAGCTCTCTGGCCCGGGCACTCGAATCGGCTAAGATAGAGATTTCTTGGATGGACAGCGGGTGTTGGAAGAGAAGGAAGAGAGTGCACATGAAGAGAATACATATTAGGGTTAGCATAAAGACGGGAAAGTATTTCTGGCCGAGTAATTCGCAAGTGTTTTTGAGCTTCTCCTGGAATGTATGGTTGCTTTCCTGAACCAAGCCACCGTGGTCACCAACGCTTACTAACTCTAAGGGCTGCATCGAGTGTCTGTGCGAGCGGGGTTTAGCCGATTCACTGCCAACAACCCTTGGCAGAAGATAAGCTATCATTAAAAAACAAAAGATAGCATAAACAGCCGACTGTTTCTTAACTAACTTAAATACTGCGATCTTCTTGTTCAGCCGGCATAACATTAAATCGTTATTTGTTCTAACTTGCTTGGTAGATATCATCTATAAACCAGAAAAGTCTGCCATATTTATCTCAATATTTTGATTTTTAAAAATGATCATCTTTGGAGTGTTATCAATTTATTTGATTAGGATGGGTTAAAATATAATCCCAAGATGTCGCCACAGCTTATTTTTCACAAACCCACTCAGCTCAATCTGTCCCAGCCCAACTTAACTTAATTCAACTCAACCCAACTTAACCCAACCCAATACTAATCCAACACACTCAATTCAATGCAACTCACTTAATACACTCGAGATAGCATAACCCAATACAACACCAATTTATTCTATACGGAATAATGATAAGCCCCCGCCAAGCTTTTGGGAACAGAAGGTGCTGGGCGCAGCCTCGTCCTGTAGGCTTTTGTTGAACTGAGTGTCGACTGCCATGGCCAATCCTTTGTACATGTGGACCTTCTTGCGACACATTGAACAGCACAGATTCTTCTTCTGGGCAAAAGAACGGGAGGCACAGTCCACATGAAAGATGTTCCCACAAGGAAAGATCACGAGAGTTCGATGGCCCTGACTTACATAAGACCCTTGGCAAGTCATACACTCTCGGGGACCCGTGGTGCCAAGACTTTCAAGCCAGGTCATCACGAAACTCTCCTGGATCAGAAAAACGATTCCGGCATTCAGCGACATGCTCTCGGCCTGTTTGAAAGTGTATATCGCCTGTTTAATGTAGGATGTTCCCATCGGACAGTAAAAACGACCGTGCCGGGTCTGAACCATCTTCAGATTAGCATTGATGGCTTCGACCTCCTGCTGACTTACCAGCCGGTTTTGCACAGTAGCTTCTTTCAGAGTAGGAAAGACTTTCTTGTTGATTAGTTGGCTTAGTTCTTGGGATTCTGAGTTTCTCTCCAAGGTTTGTCCCTTGTTTAACAGAAAGTTGATTTCAAACGACTCAACGGCTGGAAAGACCATATTAGACAAGGCGGCCAGAGTAGTAGGCGAGTTTGGAAAGATAAGTGTAAGGTATTTCAAGTAGTGCGCAAAGGCGGCGTGGTTGGAAAAGATCCACAATAAGAAGTCTTCAATGGACCCCAAAACTTCATTACGTCTTTCTACTTCAAGTAGAGATAGTGACTCAAGTTGGAGGTTTTGGGCCAGTGCTTTCATTACAGGCTCACCTAAGTTAATCAGCGGAGAGATAGATAGTTGGGTAATTGTTTCAGTGATTTTAGACAAAAAGAAGTCCTTCAGTAACTCCGCACTTTCAGTAGTCGCTTTCGGCGTAAACCGAACCTTACATTTTATAATACTCAGCTTAAAGGTCCTGGTGAACAGACTCCATATACCGCTTTCGACCCGTTCTACCAGCCCGCCAATTTCCAAAAGCACCGTATTGGCCTGGACTTGTGAGTGCCACATACTTCTAAGCACCTCGTACAGAATGCGCGTATTGCAAACATCCACACTGAATCGCTCAGTTTTAAAGACTGCACTATCTGGAGTTTTAATAACCAAAATACTAGCTAGCTTGGGCGAAGTCGGGTCAAAATAAATGATGAGATCATCCAGTTCCTCTATCACCCACTTCTTAATCTCATGCATCAGGTACTCCGACAGCCATAAAAGAGTCTTTGACTCTCCCTCACACACTCTCTTAGTCTCTCTTAGATGAATAATCTCAGCCGCTTCATAAAGATCCTCCAGCAGACCAATTCCCAGTTCCTTAACCACCAGAATAATCATCCGCAAATCATCAAACACCTCCCGCAGTCCCTTTTTCAGAGCTACCATTACTCGAATTCGTCCTTCACTGCGCAGCAGAGTATTCACCATATCAATAATAGACAGCTGACCTTCCTCTTGACTAATATCACTTAACTCCACCATTATATCCATAACCTCCGACGGGACAAAAAACAGGTCCTTTTCCTCATTAGATCGCGTGCTAAATATCTCAAATATCTTATCTAACAAAGCCAACTTTTTGTCAAAATAACACTCACCGCCTTTCTTGCGAATTTCAACCACATTCTCAATGTACATCGTTATAAAGGAAGAGACATGGTTAAAGTACGAGTTATTGACCATTGATAAGCCCGCTCCAAATCTACTTACAATTTCCACAAAATCTAACTCGCTTGGAATTGATTCTGTTTTTGTTTGATTAGGTAGATACTCAATTTCAAATACTTTGTCCTTGTACCTTGTTTCTAACAAGTACAGCAACATCCCTACCTGTTCACTAGGCACCATCTCTTGGCCCAATACTATTTTCACTGCTTCCTTAAATTCAACACTTTCTCCTGCTATCTGACTTTTTAGATTAGTAAAACTATGCATTGCCCTTCTCATGCTATTGCAATAAAATATTTGGCCTAAATACTGATATCCTTAGCGATGTTGTGACTTTATCAAGAATCAAGCCCGCCCTCACATTAACTTTCCAATCATTATCTTTAATTGTGACCTACTCAATCCATCTTTTTATGCCTGGACTATCTACTCAGCGCCCACCCAATACCAATCCAAGTACTAATCACTAGTCAATTGGCAAGGTATCTTAATTATTCCTATCTCAATACCAACGATATATTTCCAGAACCTCAATTCATCTAAATATTTAGGTATCAATATATCATTGCAAATTCCTATCTTTTCCTAGCCAATAAGCAATAAACCCAAATACCAATACCAACTCAATTCAACATCCACTCCAATACTAATACCAACTCAATTCAATACCAACTCAATTTCATGACTTTACCTAACTGAATAAATAAAGACTACAACTGACAACACAATACCATAAAAGAAAAGTGACGTCATCTATTCTATCTGTATTATTTTACTTATTATCACCAACTAACTACTAACTCACTACAATTTAATCAACTACTAACTTAGTCAACTACTAACTCAGTACAACTCAACACAACTACTAACTCACTACAATTTAATCAACTATTAACATAAGCAACTACTAACTTGATCAACTATTAACTCATTACAATTTGATCAACTATTAACATAAGCAACTACTAACTAACTTAATCAACATAACTCAACTACTAAAATAACATAACATAACACAACTACTAACTCAACATAACATAACTTAACTCAACTCATTATAACATAACATAACTCAACTCAACTACTAACTCAAACTAAGCCAATTTTTCTGTTTTTATGCTAAGTCCAACAATGAGTGTTAATTCGCTATCTCCAAATGAGCCAATGCATTTAATAGAACCTGCTGATAATTGGAAGCTCAGGCACCATATCAAACCTATTACTGCAGTTAAATTCAATCCTGATGGTGACCTTTTCTTTTCAGCTTGCAAGAATAACACTGATAATCTTGTTGTTTGGCGAGTAGCTACCGGTGAAAAGATCGGTACTTATAATGGTCATACTGGGGCTATCTTTTGTGTTGATGTTGATGCCCAGAGTCAAAAACTAGTCTCTGGTAGTGGTGATGGCCGTGGTAATATTTGGGACATTGAAACTGGCAAGCTTATTTATTCCTGTGATAATCTCGTTGCTACTAAGAGTGTCTCCTTCACTCCTGATGGTCAAAAAGTCCTTATGTGCACCGATGCCATTCTTGGTCAGCAACCAGCTATTTGGGTATACGACACCAAATCAGGCGAACTCATCAAAAAACACCAAACTCAATCCATTCCCTCAGCTATTAATACTACTATTGATGGCCGTATTATTTATGCTGATAAACTCGGCTCAATTAATCTTCTCGATGAACGAACTTTCTCTCTTCTCTCCCAAACCAAACTCCACCAGGCTAAAATCAACTCTTTAACTCCATCGTTCTGTCGCACATACTTTGTTTCATCCTCCTCTGATTTCAAAAGCAAGATTATCAGTGTAGCCAACCAGGACCCAGTTGTAATCCGAGAATTCCTTTCTGACTCACCTATTAACTGTGCCCGAGCCACTCCAGATAACCGCATGGTCTTCTGTGTTGGAGGTACTGATGCTCGAGAAGTCACCACTACCAAAGGCAAAGGAAACTTCAACATTGAAGCCTTTGATTGTGTGAACTCCAAATTAATAGGACATTATAGCACGCACTTCGGAACTATCAATGTTGTAGATGTGCATCCATCAGGCAATGCCCTACTTTCCGGGGGAGAAGATGGAGTCATCTGCCTTATCCGTCTAGACGACAACTCCTTTCTCAACGCCCCATTCACTCCCTTCACCGATTAGTAATTAGCAATTAGTAAATGAGTTAGTTAAGTTATTCTTTGGTATTAGTTTGGCTTAGTATTAGTTTGGCTTAGTATTAGTTTGGCTTGGTATTAGTTTGGCTTAGTATTAGTTTGGCTTAGTATTAGTTTGGTGTTGCTATCCCTTCCCCGGGACACGACAAATTGGTTATCTTAAAGTTACGTGTTAGTAGTAGTCTGTACTAAGTAGTGTGTACTAAGTAGTGTGTACTAAGTAGTGGTTAAGTTGATTGTGTTGGTATTGTGTTGGTATTACGACACCACACTTTCCTAACCTAACCCAATACTAACCCAACGAAATTGAGTACGCACTGGGACTAGTTAGCATTGTGTTGCAGTAATCTCTTTTGGATAGATACATTCTATCGAGCACCAAGTAGGCAATCAAAGTCTTTTATAGATATTGAATCATTGCTTTTATTCCTATCAACGC